GACAGATTGAAATAGGCAGTGAAGGATAGGAATAAGATGCACTGGGGTGAATGGCAAACACAGTGCAGAAACCCAATCTGGAGTTATCAGGCTCCTGAATTTCCTCTCTCTTGCTGGCTGCAGGGTATGGTATGTGCATATTCATCATACCTAAGTGCAGCTTGAAACTTTTTAGTGACCTCTCACAGCTCTTTAATCTGCTTCATGATCATTCAGCTGTGGCAAGAAGCTTGGATTCATTCCTAGATTTATACAGAAAACAAAGAGTTGGACCCTACTTTTTGTTATTCATGTCTCTTGCCTTGTGGATTAAAGAAAAGGTGCCAGGAGTTTCTATCCCATCTATTTTGTTCCTGAGTAAAAATGTATTCACCATTAGCTGAAATATATTGTGACTTTCTGGGGCAGTCCTCCAGTCTGCTGGGATCTCCAGAAACCTGTTTCTATTTGGCTAATGCCATAGATTTGCAGTGATACACAACCAGGATCAGTAAACTCAAATCAATACATTACACACAGTCACATTTGTTTAGCTGATTATATTCAAAATGCTTCTTTTTTAAATGTGAAAAAAAACCCCAAATATATTTGAATCTGAAATACAAATTGCACAGATTAGCAGATATTAGATTTGCCAACAGGTGCTATTAACTTGTATCTCACTTTTTTCTGCACTTACGAGAGAAAATAAAGAGTAATGCAAACAGTTGAGAAGTGCTGACTTTTTAGGTGCCACCACTGCATTTAGGGATGGTCTGGTTCTTCCTCACCAGAGGAGAGTTAGTAGGAGCTGACTATTATTTGCAGCCAGGATTTTATTCTCCTCCCTGTGAGCAGAGAGGGCTCAGACAGCCAGGACTAGAGCACAAGCCTGGGATCCTGTAAATGCAGGTAGTGACAGACTTTGGAGTTTTAGCCAGTCCTTAACTCTTAGTGCATCCCTCTTGGTAGTTATAGATTGCAATAATATTATGTATCTCTTTGGGCTGAATTTCTGTGAAATCTGACATGTTTTTGAAAATCAGAAAATACAGCATGAGGAATTGAACGTGCTATTAGAAACCAGGTGGGATAGGAGCTGTGGCCAAACCAACTGTTTAACAGTCTAAAAACCAAACTGGCAAGTTTTCAGAAGAGAAAAGACAGATGGAAGGAAAAGTATAAAAATCCCAGATACCCCCTTCTTCTAAACCTACACAGCTGTTCAAGACTGCTGAGTAAAATTTGGCCTGGTAGATTTTAGTCAGCTGCAAAAATCTTATCGCTTGTCACTTGATGAAGACAAAAAGTGTGCCCTCTGCATGTGACACTAAACGTGGGTGCATATTACTAGTAACTTCTTACTGGCTAGATCAGGAAGATTTTAAATAACCTATTGCAGATCATTTGTTTTGCCCACAGACTTGCACATTATGGTTAACAAAGCACTGCAAAATAGATCATAAAGGGTTCTTTTTTCTTTTCCCTTTTTCTGTTTCAGATCCTAATTTTTCTCCTTTGTTATTTTTATCCTTTCTTGCCATTATCAAGGTACTTCTATTGGCCATAAAGCAGAGTTAAACAATTAAAGAGGTAAAAACCTGCCTATTTTTTAAAAAGAATATTTCATTCCTAAAAAATGAGAACAGAACAAAAATTTAAAAAAACAGTTAAGGAATCGGTCTTTTCCTCTGCAGAACAACTTAATATGAGGAACCACCGGGCTGTATAGTTTGAGTGAAAATGAAGCAGCGATGTCTGTGGTCCATTATGGAACCAAATTCCTGTTGTAATTGGTGGCAGTTAGCACTAGATCCTAGAAATCATATACTTGCGAATTACACTGTATTTTTTTCTCTTTTTTTAAATAGGTTCACTCCTTTTGCAAATGGACCAGATGACACCCCAGAGGAGATTCTGGCCAGGATTGGCAGTGGCAAATATGCACTTACAGGAGGAAACTGGGATTCAGTATCTGATACTGCAAAGGTCAGTGAATGCTTTCTCAGATTTTTTTCTTGTTCTCTGAAATGGGCTTGCAGTCTGCAATTGTAACAAACTTAAGAGAGAGATAGTCAGAAGGGTTATTTCTCAGCGCCTCATGAAATAAAAGCTTGCTTCTTTATGTTTCTGTCACTCTGCATGAAATAGTGTGTCAGGAATTTTGGTAGTTTATTTCATTAAACTAAAGCATAATATAGCACCATCAATTGGAATGCTCTTGAGATTTAAATAGCATAGAACTCTTTTTTGGTGCAATTGAACTTTTAAGTGTGGGGTAGTCAGTGCCACAAATTCATGGTCTATATGTGAATCCCCTTTTGTGAATCCAACCAGGAGCAGGCAGTTTACAAATGAGCATCTTTAACTCCTGTACGGTTCACAGTTTAGGCTGCCCAACTATCACAAAGCATGGAAACCTCAGGAGATAAAATTAATCTGGTGCTGAGACTTTTGGGCATGAAGACGTGCGCTGGTCTATGAGACAGGTAGATGGGCAGAAAAGCTGGCAAGCTTCCAGTTGCCTGGCATTAATCAGAAACTTTGACAGGATTTAGAGATTCCTGCAAGAGATTTCAGTTTTAGCATCTGGTAGTATCCAATGGAAGAACACTGATATATCCCACCACAAAACTGCAAGCAATCCTAGTAACATATTCATCTTGCTACCAACACCTATGAGCCTCACAATGAATTTTTTATCAGATGTCCAGTTTTGAAATTAAAACATTCAGACGTGGTAGAATTGACCTCATTGAATTTTAACTGAAAGTTAGATTTCTATTCTAAGCTTCTCTTGTAAGCGTGCTTTGGAGTCAGTGAGGAGATGCCTCCAGATGGCATCCTCTCTAGGTGGAGTTTATCACCCCTATGAGGTCACCAGTAATTAACACTCACTCAATAAGCTGAATACCCTCCACATTATCTTTTGACTGGATTATCAACTGAGAGTTGAACATTACACTTGAAAATATTGAAGATCAGACTTTACACTTAAAAAGTATAAAGCACATCTAAAGTGCATCCCTCTCTCCATTGGACATGCTGATGATGACACTGCCACCGGGAAGATCTTAGTAAAACTGCACTGCTATTAATTACTTTTTCCCTTTTACTGTTTTCTTCCTCTTAAACCCAGGACATTGTGTCAAAGATGCTTCATGTAGACCCTCATCAGCGCCTCACAGCAGTCCAAGTCCTAAGACATCCATGGATAGTGAACAGGGAGTATCTGTCTCAAAACCAACTCAGCAGACAGGATGTTCACCTGGTGAAGGTACATTCTACCCCCCTGCCTCTTCCTTCCTTGCAGAATGAGCTATCATTTGTGTAAATATTCTGGAAACTGATAAAGAAATCAGGAAGTTTATTTGCCACAGAGGCCAAATTTATATATGGCACCATATTAACAGTAAAGATTTTTGACCTGTCACCTGCTCAATATTTTTAACTTCAAGCTGCATTGTAATGACCCGGTTGGTGGTACTCTGTGCGTGTACTGCCACCACTTTGAACCAGAGACTCCCCAGCTGTCTGCCAGCCTAAATGTTGTTATCATTTCATGGAAATCATCCATGCGCGTCCATTTTTTCAGGAGATTGAAATAATAGGCCTTTTTTGCCTGGAAGAGGGAGAGGGAGGTGAAAAGCAGCATCAAAGAACTGAATTTCAGCCCAGCATTTTCTCTTTCTCTATTTTACAGGGCGCGATGGCAGCCACTTACTTTGCTTTAAACCGAGCACCTCAGGCACCAAGGCTGGAGCCTGTATTGTCCTCCAATCTGGCTCAGCGGAGGGGCATGAAAAGACTTACCTCTACCAGGTTGTAGCAGTACCCTCAAAAGGCCTTTTTGAAAACCCACAGTTTATTATTTGAGAGATTCATCTTTACTTGGCTAGCAGAACTTTTTTGGACAACCTGCACATGAAATCGCCAGAACTAGCAGAAGCTCAGCATAATGCAAAGTTCTCCTTTGCTCCGTCATTTCTTCTACATTCCAGCCAGGGTCCCAGGTTTAACAACTTCACAAAGATGTGCCAATTTTGCCAGTAGCTCTGTTTCCTTACTGAGATAAAGCCAAATAAAGTAGGTGTGTTCCATCCTTCCCATCCTAGGAAATACTATTTTTGAGTCCTTAAGATGTTCCATGGGAACACTGTTTTCATTTTGTTTCTCAAGAGAAGCACTTTTTGCTATGAAGAACGCAGTCGGGTTTGAATGTTTTCAGCTGTTCCAGGATGCGCCATGATGAAGTGGCTCGGCTGGTCACCAGTAGACGTCTACTGATCTCCACTCACCCCAGGAAGAGTGAAGGCTGCAGAGACACATGAACAATACCTTACTTGAAATCAGTGCTATACAACATGAAGGAGAGAGAGCTGTCGGTGGTGGAGATACCTTCTGATTTCAAGAAATCTTTTGCACTTTGCCCCTGCCCTCTCTGGAATGAAGCCAGCACCGCTCGAAGAGCGCATGCCACCAGCCCTGACTTACTCGGTCTCCGAGAACAGAAAACCTCTGAGAAACTTGGTCCTCTGGGGAAATTATGGGGTCTTATGAGACTGTGGGAAAGCATTCACGTAAAACAGTGTGAGTAGGAGCCTGTGGGTCAGGGCAGAAAAAGGTGTCTGGTCTCTGCCAGCAAGCAGGAGGTCTGGGAGGACTAGGTGAGGGGGAACTGAGCAGCGGCAGGGAGGGGTGACTTTGAGGACAGTAGGCAAAAAGACCCATGGCAGCGTGGTGGGGAGTACTGCCAAAGGGAACTAGCGTGCACGTGCTTGGGGGCCAAACGGGGACTCCCTTTAAAAGTGAGGGATGGTCCCTCTTCAGCAGCTGGTACAGAAGAGGGTGGGTGGGTGGCTGGGCTGCCGAGGGGCTGGGGGGGTTAGGGCAGCTGTCCTA